GGGTATGCAAAAATCTTACTTTCAACCCAGTCTTTTCTGTTTAATATAAACAGACAACAAATTTGTCGATTAATATGAGCACTTACCTTTTTCTGGATTATGGATAGCCTGTCTTCCTAAACAGACTAACAGAACTTTTCTATGAGTCCCTTAAAATTACACTTGATTCAGTAGTTACTGTGGGATTCTATTTCTTGTTTTCAAATGACCTTGTTCAACTTGTTTTCAGATGAACTCACTCTATACAATTCTGCTGTTTTTTAAGTATGTCTTCTCAGAACATAGTTAAGGAAGTAACTATGAAAAAGTTCACCCCTTTTTTATGAAAATACTGTAAATACTGTAAATACTGTAACATTCTGCTCCATGGCAATGAGTCTATGAATTGAGGGAATCGATGATACCATTAGATCCCTTTTCCTGAGAATGAATATAATTTATTCCCACCAGTTCAGAAATTAATAATATTTTCCCCCAGTCTGCTGAGAAGTAGAAAGAAAAGGATGACCAGGAAAATACACAGAACGGCCACGAGCTGTCCGTGGTACCCAGAGCACCAGGGGATTTAGTTGCACCATAATGACACGGTCTCCACGGAAAGTGGTCTTGACTCATTATTATTATCCTGGGAGGAAAAAAATCTGTCCTCCTAAGATCGAAATACATCTTCATTGCCAAAACTAAAGACCATTCAAAGCGTGGGTAGAGCCTTGGGAAGAGAAAGGGCCACATTCCTTGACAAGAACCAATCATGGTCAACATGCGGCCATTCAGGTAACATTTGTTTTAATGACATTGTCGTGGTTGATTCTGTGCTCATCTGTCTCAACGATTTATCTCCAAACATGCAAGTAGCTTTGTAATAAAAAAGAATTCCTAAAATGGGGAAGCAGTCATCGATCGCCCTTCTCTGGTGTTTCAGATCCTGTGAAGCCACCCGGCAGCTCCTTACACGCACCAGCTGATTTACCTTTACCTGTACATACAGCACCACCATCCGCCCAGGGGGAGTCTTCTGGTGCGCCCCCTCCCCCGTACCAGCTCATCAGCTCTCCCCCACACCTGGAAACTCTTGGCCTCCAGGAGGGTCCTCAAGACTACCTCTTGCTAATCAACTGTCAAAGCAAGATGCCTGAACCTGCCAGGTAAGAGTGAGAGAAAGTGTGTGTGTGTTTGTGTGTGGTGCGTGCACGTGAGCATACGTGACCTATGTCAAGACTGACTCTTAACTATACAACTTTTAACCCTGATCTGAAGGCTTACAAGAAACCATCTGTGTAGACTTACTCTCAGGTCTGTATTCTGCCACTCTTGAGTTCTGATACTCAAGAGAAGAAACAAGATTTTTCGTGAAGAGACACGATTTCCACCATCTCTGTCATGGAACACAGGTCCCTGCTAGGCTTCTGGGGGAATCTGTCTTCCTGTCTCATGCTCTTTGTTACAGACTCACAGTATTACTTGCTTAACAGATTTGACTGATTTGTAAATGGTGATCTTGCTCCATTTCTTATGTGATTGTAAACCAGCCAAGGGTCATCTTTTGTTTCTGAAGAAGGAGAGGAATACCTGCTACTGGAAGATTTTGAAAGCAAAACGATTCCATTGCAGTGAGTGTGTTGTGGTTGCTTTGTATCTGCGTGAGAAATTAATCATACAGGTAAAACCCCAATACAGCAGATGCTATGGAAATACAAATTGGGTTTTAGTGACGTTTGATGCAATCAACTATGTCATGAAATCGACGCTCTGAAATCTTCGTACTTAGCAGTGAAACAGAGCTTACTCCAAGCCTTGCCTTCAGAAGTTTTTAAGTAGAAAGAAGTAAACAGATCCCAGTGTCTGCCAGAGGCCTTTCCTATAACCTAGGTTTCTCCATTCCAGCCTCTGCGGCTCCCACCCGCCCCTTGCCCCTTAATCTGTCAGATACTTGAGTGTTGGCATGCTTGCCACGGAGGCTGAGCCGTCGGAGGGCCCGAGGTAACAGTGAGAACTAAGGGCGGTTGTTTTGGTATGTGAAAAAGGAACCAAACATTACAAGAGGGGCTGCATCTGCCACAAACAGCTACATGCCAACGGGCACTGGCCTTGGTGGCATTTTACTACCTGCTGTTCGGGAGCAGGAGTGGGGTGAGCTGTGTGTAGCTCCAAGGATCCCACAACGGTCAGATACTAAGCCGTATTTTTATAACAAAAAGTTGTTTTCATCTGAGAGTGAGTGCTACTGGGTTTGGAGCACATGAGACTCTTGTTCAGAGCTTTTATGTAGTTTGCGATGATGCACAAGAGCGTTCTTTGACTTTGTCCCTGAGCTGAAGGAAGCTGCTCACAGACATGGCAACGATGGATTTCTGCATATTTGTTGTAATGGGGTTTTACCTGTAAGAACAAAAAACAAAAATTCTTTTTATAAATCCACAGTAGTGAATAATACCAATTCTAACTTGATTTTGCTTGTTTGCTGTGAGTAATTCAAAGTACACACAGGCAACTTGGTTACCTTATTACTAACGACAGTTTTGTTTTACGGAGACTCACAATTACTTTCAGTTTCAACTTGTTAAAAGCCAGCAACTAGATGACAGTTTTCAGGACATGGTCTTTTTTTTACCAAGTATGTTTCATTGATTGGACGGTATCACAGCTTTCCAGTTATTGTAGAAATTAGACCCAAAATCGGCCTCTGATACATTTTGTATCACTTTGCAAAAATGAGTTAAATTGCGATATTCATGGAGTACCCACTACACCGGTAGATGGTAGACACTGAGAAGGTGCCAGCTAGTTCCCTGAGGTGCAGCGTCCTCCTGTCAGTCACCTTCACAGTTTGCACGTAAAGCTCATGAAGAAATTAAAACATGAACCATTAAGAGCTTCTAGACGATGGCAAGAGCTGAGAGTTAATCGCGGTGCATGCCGGTCCGTCCTTCCAGACCCAGATCAGACGTGCGTTCCTCCTAGAAACATCCCCCAGACGTCCCATTTGGCTTCAGTGCCTCTCTGGGTCGCCGTAGCATCCTCGGCATGCTTTCTTATCTGTTGGGTCACAGAATTGGAAAAGGCTTGATGTTTTTAATCTATTATCCATGAAAAGCTCAAGCTAATATGAGCAAGAACCTTGCTTATTATTCATCATACTTTTAGCTGCTTCTTTTTTGACTCATGCATTTGAATGAAATGAAGTGCAGGCTTTCAGATTTGTGTAGTTGCTTTAGCAGTGTCTAGAAAGGACAGTGCAGGGGTTCTTTAGATGGAGGGTGAGAAGTGTATATAGACTACAGCTGGTATATGAGAGGGACAGTATTTGTGATTTGAGCTTGAGTTGGAGTAATCGATTGATTTAAATTAAATTAAGCTTCCGGGAAAGGAGAGGGAGAATGAGCCTGGTTCGAGGAAGGTAATGAGAAGAGCCCGCTTGAGTGAAGCATGGCTTGGGGCTTGGTAAGACATGTGAGAGATGAGGGTAGAGTCAGCTTAGCAGTAGCCCTGATGCTGGGGAGTAGCTCCCACAGCCTAGAAGGGCCCCGAGAAGGTTTTCTCTGTGCTGGTGAGTGATCTGAAAACCACATTTGAAATCACTGATCTTAAAGCAGCACTGCAGCGTGGTCCCAGGGAGAGGTCAGAAGACAGAGAAACCAGTGGAAAGAAGTGCACTTCGTTGGTTTCTGGGGTGTAGACCCCAGCAGAGACTATGACGTGTAGTTGGGATGGACACAGGACAGAGACTAGAAGCTTGGGTGGAAGAAGGACTTTGTCCCCTAATGATGGCGGAGACCAGAAAGAATGAATCCAGGTTGATTGGACTTTGAGCTGGAGAAAGATAACTTCTTTTAAAGGCAAGATGAGGGGTGGGCTGGGACCACCCACTGAAAGAGCCTAGAAGCCAGGTAAGATTGGGGTAACCAAGCAGAAGTGAGGGTGACCGCTTTGGAAGGTGAGATTTAGCATTTAATGAGAAGATGGATCGTCAGCCCTCAGTGCAAAGGGAAGTGCCAGGAATTTCAGTGATGTTGGTGGTTAAGAATGAGAGAGCTGGATTCTCTTTCCACGTGAGGGGCAGAGACAGGAGACATAGGAGCATCACCGTGAGGGCGAGGGAAAATCAGGATCTACCTGTCAGCGTGGAATCTCTGATGCCAGTGAATAAACACAGCACAGAGCTGTCACTGAGAACTGAAGGGAGCAAGCCTGTTGGAAAATGATCACGAGTTGTTATTAGTTTGATATTAAGTCCCTCCAGGACTTCGGGCAGCACGCAGAGATGGCTAGACGTGTAGTTTAGCATCCAGGGGCTGTATTCTTAGCTTCATCTTGGCTTAGAACCCAGATTTTGTGATACCATAAGATGCAGAGCCTGATAATGTACCCCAAACCTAAAACAGACACGAAGGAGGTGCTCCGAGGTTCATTAGTGCTTGGAGTTGGCTCCCTCTGTGACTTGTCTTTTCATCTTCGTCATAGCGCTGGCTAAACATTCACTAAAGCAAGTGAAGAGAAAGGAAGCTAGGGAGAGCCTGTCAACTGATCACCCCAAATGAATCAATACCAGGCGATCCTAGACTTTTAGTTTTACAAATCAAGTTTGCCATGGTGGGCCTCAGCTGTGCGGCCACTAAGCTCCTGCGTGCTCTTCCAAGCAAAGGCTTTTCCTCGCGTCCATGATTTCACCCCAATCTCTTCAGAGTTGTGTCCTTAATGCCCATGCTTCAGGGGTTGTGGTTTTATGTGTGGCTTTATTTATCAGGTGGAGTGGGGGGTGGCAGGGACAGGCTGGGGCTGAGGAGAATGCTTTCTTGCTGGTTTTGTGGTGGCTTCATTAGCTGCTGTGTAATCACGAAAACCAAAGAACATCCGTGCTTTGAAGCTTTTGGCTCACACACCAAAAAAATCGAATGAAAGCAGCCATGCATTTTGATCTCTAAGCTACAAATGCACGTGCACCAAGGTGGTGTCGTTTTCAACATGTTTTCTTGTCGTTAACCGTCTTCTCTTCAGAACACACATGGATTCTGCAAAGTCCACATCCTCTGAAACAGACTGCAACGATAACGTCCCTTCCCATAAAAACCCCGCTTCCTCCCAGAGCAAGCACGGGGTGAACGGCTTTTTCCAGCAGCAGGTGACGTACGACTCACCAGCGTCCCGCGCGGCCTCTGTGTTAGCGGACTCCGGCCTCTACAACCTGCCCAGGAGTTACTCCCACGATGTCTTGCCCAAGGCGTCTCCGTCAAGTACAGAAGCAGATGGCGAGCTCTACGTCTTCAACACCCCGTCTGGGTCGGCGAGTGTGGAGGCTCAGATGAGGCAGGTATCCATCAGTTACGACATTCCTCCCACACCTGGCAACACCTACCAGATCCCACGGACTTTTCCAGAAGGGACCTTTGGACAGACGTCAAAGCTTGACACCATTCCGGATATTCCTCCCCCTCGGCCACCAAAACCACATCCAGCCCACGACCGGTCCCCTGTGGAAACCTGTAGCATCACACGCACGGCCTCAGACACCGACAGCAGCTACTGCGTCCCCAAGGCGGGGGTGCCGCCGTCCCGGAGTAACACCATTTCCACCGTGGATTTGAACAAGCTGCGGAAAGGTCAGCTCCGCGCGGCTTCTGCTGTGTGGTTGAGGTCAGGGATAGAGAATCTGGATGTTTGTTCCCTTAGGCAAATTTGTCATTATATGGTGTGGCTGAGTGCCCCTCAGCTCTGCCCCGGGTGTGGGCACCGCGGGTCCAGGAGGGGGCTGTGTCCACAGCACATGCCTGTTGTTTGTTCCTGGACGGGGGCGAGAAAGGGCTGCACGGGTCCTGCCGTGAAGTGGGGCTTCGTAGGCTTCCCTGCCGCAGGGAGACACAGCCCGTTCCCACTCTGAGTCTCTGGGGCGGGCAGAGCCCATCGTGAGTCAGCCCCCAGGACGCTCCCCTCTGCCCTGGCCTGTTCTGGTCTGCCCGCAGCCGCTCCCGTGACCATTTGCTGGGCTCGCTGGGCTCCGTTTCCCTCCTTCCCACATAAACTTTCTCACGCTGTGTCGAACAGGAGACACCCGCACCTCATCGCACCACACTGCTCTCTGTGTGTTTGCTTTTATTTCTTTTTAAGGCTCTGAATCTTCTCCCCTCCCCCCTTCTCCCTAGCTACTTCACTTCCTTCTAGAGCAGCTCTAAGCCTGTCAAAAGTTACAGGCAGACCTGGAGAGAAGAGAAATTGTGGGGTACACGTGGAACGCCACCTGTCCCAGAAATACACCGCAAATTTAAGCTGCACTTCCACGAGAGGCTTTTGCTGATAGCTCTGTAGTCTGTGGTCAAGTGATCTAGCAGTCGTAAAGAAGATAAAAGTGAATGCGTTGCACATAGCACTTGCCCAGCCGCACCAATGTCTGACTCCCTGCTTGAAGTAACCATATGCCTAGTTGTCAGTGAGGTTTAAGTTAGGCCCAGGGTCGTGCAAGATAAGAAAATACAAGTACTCTTTTCTCCACCTTGAAACAGTGATATTTCATCCAGCTTTGGCAGCCACACACTGTCATCATTAGGGCTGGTGTGGATTAAGCTAGTGAGTGACACTCTGTTTTCTAGGGGTTAATGTGTCACTTCTAGAGACTGTTCTGTGAATATCCTTTTAAAAACTCTTGAATGTGTGCATGTAAACCTGCATGTGAAGAGAGAGAGTAGGTGATTCCTGGTTATTCTAAAAGCTTGGCAACGATGGGAAGAAATGTTGATAGCTTGTTCTCTGTTCTAGATGCTAGTTCTCAAGACTGCTATGATATTCCACGAACATTTCCAAGTGATCGATCTAGTTCACTTGAAGGCTTCCATAACCACTTCGTAAGTATCGTTGACCTTGGCACCATCGGGTGTGTTTCAGTATGAAAACTTCACACTGACTGCCCTGAGACTAAATGAGATCTTGACCTTAAAGTCCCTCTAGGCCACATGCATAGAAGTGACTTACATTGTGTTTTCCTGCTCAGCAATAGTCATGTTTATTAAAAGAAACATATGTGTGTTTTAGAAAATCAAAAATGTGTTGACAGTGGGAAGTGTGTCAAGTGAAGAGCTGGATGAAAATTACGTCCCTATGAACCCCAACTCACCACCACGCCAGCATTCCAGCAGTTTCACCGAGCCCATCCAGGAGGCCAACTACGTGCCGATGACGCCGGGGACGTTTGATTTTTCCTCCTTTGGAATGCAAGTCCCTCCTCCTGCGCATATGGGCTTCCGGTCCAGCCCGAAGACCCCTCCCAGAAGGCCAGTTCCCGTTGTAGACTGTGAACCACCCCCCGTGGACCGGAACCTCAAGCCGGACAGAAAAGGTAAGGACAGTCAGCCAGCCACGTCAGGACCTGGAGGTGCTGGCCTGGCGCTGCGTTTCATTAAATCTCACAGAGTCAGGACCAGAAATTCTGGAGTCTATCATATTACCTTGGTTATCAGCTTGCTAAAGTAAAGTGGTCTTGCTGCTTACAGACGCTTCATTGTTAGATCATTTATTGATGTCCCGCTACGATTTTTTTTTTTAAGTCTCCTGTCTCTCAGAGTTTACCCACAAGGGTTGGCAAATGAGTGTGTGAGCAGACACTGGGATGCATGCCCTTGCCCTGTCGGAATGGAGTAGTTAGCTGCCCCTTCGCAGCCAAACTTTGGTGACGTGGGAAAATATTATAGGGCCATCCAGGCAAATCGGATACATCAAAAGAACCCAGAAATTGCAAGTTCTTAAGTTGTTTTCTTAAAAAGGAAATAAGAACATTACAAATCAAATCAAATACTCCTGCAAGCCAAATAGGATCTTTGATTTTTTTTGTGACCACCTGTAGTTGATGTCTTCAAATCAGGCTCCGAGGATGATGCCCTTGACATTCTTGAAGGGCAGTGAGGAAGCCTGGCTCATCCTCCCCAGTCCATTTGTGCAAAATGGAAAAATGACTTAAAAAATGACTCTGCTTCCGCTGGGCTATCAGTCAGTGCTGGGTGATTCTTTCATTCTGGCCCTCCCAAGTACACTGAACTCGAAGGCAGCATAGCTTGTTAAGTTCGCAGTGTGAAAAAGCTCCTTTCAGCCAAATGGGTGAGGTGGGCCCAAGTTTTAAAGCGTCACGGCTCAGCCAGCCAGCTGTGTGGGAGCAGGCTGTGCGGTGGTTTGGTGTGACAGCCGCTTGTCGGTCGGCGTGTGGTGGGCACAATGGCTGGTGATGTCAGCACGCTCTCACGAGCTTTTTTTTTTTTTTAAGATTTATTTATTCATACAGAACTGGGGTACAGGCCAGAGATGTGGAGGGTGAGAGGATTCACCAGAGACAGAGCGGGGAACAGAACAGGCAGATGGACGAAGTACACTGCTGAGGGGAGCAGCGGGCGGGTCAGGAGAGGTCTGCCACGCCATGTGGTCACCTCCAGGGCAGGCGGGGATTGAACTCATGCAGAAGTGACTTAAGCTTCTTAGTGCTGTGCTGTAACCCGCTGCGCCACCTGGGAGGGCCATCTCACGAGCTTTTTAAAGTGTGTCACGGTTGTGTACACTTCCATTCACGTGGGCTTAGATCATCAACATTTATTCGAGCTGAGCCCCAGTTGTGGGGAAGAGACTGAGACTTACCTTAACAAGTGAGCTTTGCTTTGCTTCACTTTGCTTTCAAGCACGGTCTTCCCCGTGCTGGAGGAGGAGGGGGGGGCGGGACTGCCCTGGGCAGCCTGGCTCCGCGTCCCGGCAGCCTCCCGCTGCGGTCTCGCCCGCATTAGTCTTCCTGGCCGTGTTCTGCTCGGCGGCTTCTGCTTTCGGAGAGCTTTGGCCTCCTGCCTCTCAGCAAGCAGCCTCCTTTTTTCCAGACCCTCACAGCTCCCACATCTATTGCTGGCTGCCTCCCGCACCCCGACGCACCGCAGATGGCTCAGGGAGCCTTGGCTGGTCTCGGTCTGTGCACGCCAGGCACAGGACCCACCTCCGGACACCTGCCCCCAGCAGCAGGGCCAGGATTGGGGCGTGGGGCCGCATCTTAGGAGGAGCGTGGGTATCTCAGCCTCTTTATTTGATGATTTTGTTTCCTTTTGTCTCCACTTGTCTTTAAATCTATTTTCAACACCCTTAGTCACTTTCTCCCTTGTGGCAGAATAAGCAGTTATGTCCGGACATGTATAGATTGATCAGGCGTTCACAGAAGTCTGGGGATTAAGATCCAAGTGTCATGAACTCTTAGTGTCTGAACTGTTTGTTTGTTTGTTTGTTTACTTTTTAAAGATTTATTTATTTATACATATAGAACTGGGGTACAGGCCAGAGGTGCAGGGGCGGTGAGAGGCTTCACCAGAGACAGAATGGGGAACAGAACAGGCCGACTGACGAAGCACACTGCTGAGGGGAGCAGCAGGCAGGTCAGGAGAGGTCTGCCGCGCCACGTGGGTCACCTCTGGGGCGGGGATCAAACTCATGTAGAAGTGGCTTTAGCTTCTCAGTGCTGTTTCAACCTGCTAACCACCAGGGGGGGCCTGAACTGTTTATTTTAATGCTGAACTGGTTCTTGGCTTGTTTTCCTCTGATCAGGGCACGTTAGCAGGTATCTACATTTAACCTCAGATATAAGTTTCATATCTTCAGACTCAGTGGCGACATGGTCCTTTAGTAGGGTACAGTGCGCAGATTCCTCGCTGCTTTGCTCCCTGTGGGTGCCTCCCTCCCCTTGAGGTCTGCTGGACAGACTTTGAAAATCCTCCATCAGTTTCGTATGCATAGGTCCACATGGAAACTTGATGCTGAATCAGGAAATCTCTCCATTTACATGTGAGACAGGTTTTAAGCTAGTAATGCTGCGCTTTTCAGCATCGTAGAACTTGTGTGCCCCATATCACATGTTGTGTCACATAGATATTATAATACTGTACCGTGTGTTACACACGTGCATAGTTAGGCCTCCCTGAGTGTGTGGTGGGAATGTTGTTTGCTCCAGTTACCATGGATGAATTACCTGCTTCTCTCCATCAACCTAAAGTGACTACATTAGAACAGAACACCGTTCGTTCTTGGTTACTTCTGTAGATGGTGTTTACACGTTTAAAGATTAAACGAACCGTTGAAAGGCAGTCCTGAGCTCATTGGCCTGGCGTGCTCACTCTTAGCTTGGTATCTTTGTTTAGGTATGAAATGAACTGAGAATGAAATGCCGGCCAGAATGAGATGCCCATCCAGTTTTTTGGCAAAATCAGGGATAATAGGCTTAGCAAAACAGTAAAGAGACTGCTAAAATCATAATATTTTTAAAAGGTTGTTGTTTTGCTTTAGTACTATTCCACTTTCAAATAAATATGCTACAAGAAGGCATTTACCATTGCAGGGAAAACTTTGTCAGCTCACATTAGAAAGGCCTAACTCTTCAAGACAAATATGATCTCAGAGCAAAGATTATCTTGAACAATTTGAACTGTGGAATAATTGTCCTCTTTGGTCATGAATTTCTTCTAATGGGTATTATCAGATGAGATTGTTAATTTCAAATGGTGTGATGTCAAGGAGAGGACTCAATCTGTTGTTTTTCTGTTGAACTCCTAATAAGCAAGGCCAATGCTATCAAATAAATTCATTTCATATCCCAGCATAGCTAGTTCAATACCCGGTTTCTGCGATTGTCTGCTTCGGTGACTGTCTTCTTAGGATGAGTCTACAACAGATGAGTGACATTCTAGCTTTGTTTATACCCCCAATTATAGATGCCAGCTGCCAGAGTTTCTAGGACAGATGAGTTTTTCAAATACTTCTGAGGAATTGAGGCTGCAAAAATACATAGAGGTCCTGATCATTCGGTTTAACGATGTATTTTCAGGAGCCCAATACCCACCCACCCCTACTGTCTCTGTCACTCTAGTGTTTGTTGTGGACCAAGGTTTATTTATATTACTAGAGGAGAAACATAATCTAGACAGATTAAATATTTGGAAAGCAGATGAGTCCTTGGAAATTGTGTTTTGATTACTTCAATCGAAAAGTTTGTATTTTAATGGAAAGTGATTTTGTCAAGTTTGGGAACTCTATATGATTTCTTAGTACACAAATCTTCTTTACTTTATCGCTGTGCTTACCTTGTCCCTCACCCCAAACAGTCTTCTTTTGACATAACAAAGCAGCTGTTTGAGAGTATGGTGATATTTTAGGTTTGGTTTGGTTTAATCTGTTTCTCACTTTTTTTTTTAAGATTTATTTTGTGCATACTAGAGCTGGGGTGCCAGCCAGAAGGGGGGCGGCTGGCGGAGAGGGGCTTCACCAGAGACAGAGTAGGGAGCAGAATAGGGATTGACTGAAATCCACTGCTGTGGGAGCAGCGGGAGACAGGAGGGGTCTGCTGGGCCATGCCATGAGAGTCAGCTCCCTGGCCGGCATCTAACTAGTGCAGCAGTGACTGCTGATAGCTGCACAGTGCTGAGACTCAGCCCCTTGCCCCACCAGGAAGGCCCCGTTCCTGGCTTCATGCAACAGTTCTGACCGTTGTTTTGGCCAATAGTACATGGTGCCTTCTGATGCTCAGTGCGTGCGTTCTTTTGGGAAAAGGACCTTCCACCTGGCCCACCACTTTGCTGTAGGGAGCACCTGGAACACCTGTCCCCAACCTTCCATTGGTGGGTCCTTCTGACATTTGCTCTGAACTTCAAGAATGCTTTATCCTATAATCCATGTTTGGAAGAGAGTTGAGTTTGGCTCGGTAATCCGGTATTACGCTGCAGACGGATTTCTGGTTGGGCGATACAGCCTGCGGGGCCCTGGGTAAAGCCTGCGGGGCCCTGTGCACCTGCACGTGCGCTTGTCTCCTCCCAGACATCCTCAGCCTGCCTGGGAGTTAACATCACTGTGTCCTTCTTGATACAGCGGGACCTGAAATTGACTGTAGACGATGGTCAGGGCCCTCAGTGGTGGCGCAGCTGGTTAAAGTGCAGCACTATGAACCTATCCACAGCCGCTGCAGCACGAGTTCGATCCCCAGCCAGGGAGATGGCCCACAAGGTGCAGCAGACCTCTCCTGTCTCCCTGCTGCTCCCCTCAGCACCGTATTTCAGTAGATCCACCTGTTCTGCTCCCCTCTCTGTCTCTGGTGAATCTTCTCATCCCCCCACACCTCTCACCTGTACCCCAGTTCTTGTATGCATAAACAAATAAATCTTTAAAAAAAAAAAAGATTTTCGGGATGCTGCCTTGATGACATTTTAGAATTAACAGACAATAATAATGTTGTGAATTCTTTCTCTTCCTGATTTTTGTGATGTCTACTGAAAGAGTCAGTCGTGTAGGCTGAGTTAGTCTTGTAGTAGGGGACGTCAGTGTTCCCCTGTGAGCTGAATTTTTACAAGCAGGACCTATTCAAACAATGCTCAGCAGTGGATGGACTTTCCAGAAAGGGCCGCCTCGGTGAAACCTGGCCTCACAGGGTGGTCTTGGCCATATTAGGAAGCACCGACCTTCGGAACAACACTCAGTGCCTCCTCACTCCCTCTTACGTAGAAGCCGTAATGGCCCTCGTCACATTCAGCACGACCTTGTTTAAGAGACAGGGCGGCTGACGTACCCGACTCCACGCCTGCCCGGTGGGTGGGTCGGCCATACCTCTGGCGGCCTCGGGTGCCCAGACACAGCGGAGCGCGTCACCTCCGGAAGCAGCTCACCTCCGCAGCTGGGAGTGGGAAAGTAAACACATTATCATAGTTGGCGTGCAGGGCTGTGGCTGAGGTAAGCTCTTGGCACTCACAGTGAAGCTCCCCGGAGGAAAGCCTGAGAGGTGAGTGCAGGCAGTTATGGCAGGGGAGGAGAGCCAGTGACACTGGGCAGTCAGGGAGGGCGGCCGCCCACTGGGCTTTCTGAACAGAGGGAGCAGGACTGACTCGGAGCCACAGCGGACACCCGCAGGGAGGGAGGCTGAGGGAGGTGCCGGCGGCAGGGTCCACGCCACGGGCGCCCTGAGCGGGCGCCACCAAGGGGCTCTCCAGGGGACACAGTCTCTTCCCCTAGAAAGCGCGTGCTGAGATTGAAGGCAACCATAGGAAAAACATTATTCTCGAGGGTAAAATGCAAAACTGCACTTTCCCAGCAGCTTCTGCAGAGTATTTGGCCAGTTTTCCAAATCCAGGGCTCCTGTAGCCTTGTTTCAGGGATGGTCAAACAGGAAGACTGAGCGAAAACCCTTTTCCCAAGCCTCCACCGGGCCCCCACGCCTGCCCCATCCTCTTGGGAGGGGCCAGGACGCAGCCACACCTGCTCGTCCCTTAGGCTCTGTGGTCCTGTCGCCTCCTACCAAACTGTGGTTGGGTGCAACTTTCATTCCTGTCTGGAACTTAAATGCTGGCTGAGTCCAGAAGGATAGAAAGAAAGGGAACCGGGACTCATTACACCTCGGTGTGACATCTCCACAGTGCGACTTCTGTCCTAGAGCCACCCTCAATCTTCGCAGGGAGGAGAAAATACACGCATTTTATAAATGCATCTTAAAACGGAACACTTCCCCCTGAGGAAATCATGGCACACCCGCCACCCCCTGCCCGAGTGCTGGGGAGGACTGACTGGCAGGCTCAGCTCAGTGCCAGGCCCACAGGAGATGGCCGGCAAACCCCAGCGTAGACCTTGAGATGAGGAGCCCAGGGACTAGGTCATCCAGTGTCACTTGGCCTTGCTCCTTGACCCACCGACATGGATGAGATACCGAGGGCCTGAGGGGAGCACCCAGCAGTCACAGGGCGGGAGGGCGGGGCAAGCAAAGGGGCTGTTTGGGCGAGGGAGGTGGGCACCCACCGAAAGCCAGCAAGCCCCACGTCGTCCTCAGCAGTGAGTCAACATGGCACCTCCCAAATACTCGTAGCCTCAGGCGGACGTCAGGTCTCACTGAAGGTCAAAGCCAGTCTCAGGACTGAGCCCTGAGATGCTGTTGCCATCTGGGGGAGGCAGCGTGGGCTCAGCCCACGGGCTGCATACGCAGGACAGGTCGGAGGACGCGTCATGTGGCCTCTGGTTAATGCCCTGTCCCTGATCAGGAAAAGAGTTGGCACGAGGCGCTAAGGGTTCCTGATTTCTCTGACTGTTCATGGTTGTGGCAATCCCTTCGGCCCTTAATCTAGTGATGTCGTCTTCAGGTTTTCTATTCTTTCCTCCATCATCCCCAGAAAACCACTGTACGCCTTGTGGTCCGAATTTAAACTACAAGGGCCTTTCTGCTCTCAAGTAAATGTATTTTTCTGGAGCAAAACCTCCTGTCTCTTCAGTCATTTTATGCAGATGCTGGCAGCCTGGACCAGGGCTCGGGGATCGAACTCATGCAGAAGTGGCTTAAGCTTCTTAGTGCTGTGCTTTAACCCGCTGCGCCACCAGGGAGGGCCCACTTACTTTTCTTTATAACCTAGAGAATCTCACTTAAGAAGCTTTTAGTCTTTGATAGATAAGATACTAGGTAGAAGCATTATGGTGTTTTTTTTTTGTTTAATTTGTATTTATGCATGCAAGAACTGGGGTGTAGCCCAGAGGTGTGGGGATTAGAAGATTCACCAGAGACAAAGTGGGGAGCAGAACAGGCATCGCGACTGAAACACACTGCTGAGGGGAGCAACAGGGAGATAGGAGAGGTCTGCTGCACCATGTGGGTCACTCGCTGGCCAAAGAACACTGGCCACAGTGGTGATAGAACTGAGACTTAACTCCAAGGCCTCCATGGACGCCCCAGACAGAAGCATTAACGTTAGAATAAGCATCCACAAGTTCCAGTGTTGCTGTCTCATAGATGTCAGCTTAAGGAGAGTGGCCAGGCCTCAGGGGAAGGGGAGCCCGGTAGGGGGGTTCTACCTGGACTTTTAGCACCGCTGGTACAGGGCAGTGGTTGAATGAGAAGTGTCTGCTTGGAGACACTGACGTTAATGCCAGACAGCGAGCAGGCCCACGACCCAGCGTCTGATGCCGGCGAAGGTGATGTCACCTGAGTAGCCAGGGAAACTGCAGGTCTTAGTTTTGCCCCTGGGTTAACAAACGTGTCCATTCCACCTGCTTCTCTAGAAGGGCTTTGGTCAGGAGGTGTGGGCATAGTCACACGGAGGGTTGTAAAGGCTCCACCTCAAACGCGGAGGTGACTGCAGGGAAGGAGCCCAGGGCCCGCATGAGACGCCAGCCCGCCAAGAGAAGAGGTACTTGGAGCCCGAGGGGGTTTCTGATTTTTTAATTTGATCAAATTCTGTAGATGTGGTGGAGAGGTAGCCTCTGTGGCACACACATTTCCTCCCTTCCCACAAACCAGGCTGACGACTAACCGAGCTGGGGACCCCACTAACCCCGACCACCCTGCCTGACACGTGGCTCACGCGCTGTTGCTTATGGCTTCCTTCCTCCCCCTGTACCGAGCATGAATACGCAGCAAAATGGGAATATTGTCCACAAACTTGCCGGTGCTTTTGAGATGTAACATTCCTGCTTAGGGTGTTGTTGCTTTTTTTTTTTTTACAAAATCCACTTTTTTCCGATTAAAAAACAACTTTTAAGTGAGTCTTCTTTTTACCAATTAGGTCAGAGTCCTAAAATTTTAAGACCCAAACCCCAGGGTTTAGCGCGAACTGACTCACAAACCATAGGGGACTTTTCGGCGAGAAGAAAGGGTATGTACGTTACCCATGCATGCCGGGCAGGGCTTTGGGAATCTTTATTTTGTGATTTTTTTTTTTCCTTAAAAAGTAAAGGACAGCAGCCTTCAGTGCTACTGCAGTTGTAAATAAAGCTCCCAGCATGTTACTTCTATGACAAGTGCTCCCCATAATCTACGATAAGTGCTCCCCATAATCTACGACAAGTGCTCCCCATAATTTTAAGCCGTTACCAGCAGCATGCTAAACGTCGGGTGATATGTGATGTTTGGTCTTGTCCTTCTGTGTTATTCTTTGAACCCTTTAAATATCAGTTCGTTGTTTGCATTCAGCTTGTGAGTTCGTTGTCTCTTGTACTTGTGTGTGATGTGTGCATCCTATTCTGACACAGAAAACAGAATCTTCCCCATAGATGAGTTATTTTATGCCTTGACTTCGTTAAACTGCTGTTCATCTTTGGATTTTTAGAAAAGTTGAACATGTGAGTTAAGTACTTTCCATCGACTTATTATTCTGTACATGTCCATTTAGTGCTTAGATGAGCCAAGCCTATTTTAACTTGAATTTAAATAAGTCCATCTGCTCTTTAGAAAATTACTTTGAGTGTTATGTATTTGCATTGATAAAAATAGTAAGCCTCAGTGAATCTATGTGGTCCTTTGAAGTGACCACCTATTTGATAGTTTGACAGTAATTACAGCAGCTGGTTAAAATTATACAGCTGTGAACTAAGACTAAAAGAAAAGCTGAAAAAAATGAACATTTTACTTTAGAATGGTGCAGGAACGCAGCTAAGATATTTATCTAGTAAGTGTTAACCATCTCCTCTAAAATATAATGAATATTAACACACAGTGTCGTTTCAATTCTCATTCATAAATTTCTGAAAAATGCGTCAGTCTTGACTTTCTGAAAAGGGCTGAGAACTATGGTTTATACTAGCTACTAATTATCTACCATAAATATGCAAAGATCCCTTATAAACAAAACTAATAAAGATACTGGCACTGGTTTTTATTTAATTTAGTGAAGAATGTTGTTGATTAAACTAAAAACTTGAGATAATTAATTATGGTCTTTTCTCAGAGCTGAGTTTGAAGATAAAATTATTGCTTTAATTTGTTTGATTCCAGGCTGAACATAAGTGAACTATAAAGATTTCATCACTGATTCTTTTTTCAGTTTTTGTTTTTGGTAAACTCATATTTGATACTTTTTGTGCTTTATCAAAGCATCATTTTATATGATCACATACATAACCTAGTGATCATATAAAATGATGCTTCGATATTGAAGAACAGGAATGTTTTTACCTAAATCGAGGATAAAATGAGTGAAAAAATAATTAAGAAGGAAATAATGAAAACTACATAAAGTACTTGTGAAGGAATGGGATCACATTGCTTTTATGTAGTTTACATTATAAAACATTTACTTATGTAAGGAAGCAGCATGTTGTAATAGAGCTTCAGAACGTGATTAAGCAATCATGAACATCTGATTTAGCTTTTGCTGCAAACTATTCTATTATTTATTGTGATTTTATCTTTGCGATCGTGGGCCAGTCCCACAGCGTTGACCGTTGGGTCTCATTTTGCGCGTGACACTCACCGGTCTTCTCTGTCTTCTGGCTCTAACCCATCGGCAGAGATAAACCAGAGATGATCTCGTTCATTTTTCAGATTTCTTGATACTGAAGTATTTCTCTCTCTCTTTGTTTCAGTCAAGCCAGCACCTTTAGAAATTAAACCCTTTTCGGAATGGGAAGAATTACAAGCCCCAATTAGATCTCCCATCACCAGGAGTTTTGCTCGAGAGTAAGTCTTTGTTTAAAATATGTGCCTAGAACAGGGGTTCTCACAGGGTGATTGGGGCGTGCCACTCAGGTTCTTAGAAGTCAGAACTATTTTCATTAAGATAATCTCCTGAGGATTTTTCACTCTCTTTTTAGGGTTCACTGGTGCTTCCCAGATTCCACATAATGGTTGATGCTCTTGTGACAACTAGCAGAATGTATATAACTACATTCTTGTGTTTTAAATGTTTGCTGTTCATTTGTAATGTAGTAAATATTAATAGCTATAACTCACAGAAGCAAGAGTTCTTTGGGGTATATTGTAACTTTTAAGAGCCTAAAGGGTTCATAAGACCAAAGTTTCTGAGAAGTACTGATCTGAAAAATTGGGAAGTTCCTTAATTAAAGATGATTTAATTAACATGTATCTAGATTTGGGTAGAAAGGTGAGTAGAATCTATGAAGTCACAAACGTGTTCATATTTTGTGTGCACATACGCTGGTTGATTGTCAATAGGAATTCTTAAATCTGTATCCACGACTGTCGCTTTCCCCGGCTCACAAGCAGTCGTCTTTCTTGTGCCTCACACGGGATGATCTGATGCTCCAGATACAATTGTTGACAAGCGGTGGGTGTGCATTTGAGCCTGCCCCATCAGCTGTCTTTGAGCTGTACCGCGAATGATCCTAAACCTGAGTGAGTGTGTTTGCATAAATGTCAGAGCGCTCTCATTTGTTTTGCAAGTGGTCTTAGAAGTCTCGTCAGGGTCACGTCTGTCTGTAAAGGTGGTTTCTGTATCAGCTCCACCAGGTTCCCCCTGTCTCCCCGGCCTGACTCTGTGCACAGCACGACTTCCAGCAGCGACTCGCACGACAGCGAGGAGAACTACGTCCCCATGAACCCCAACCTGTCCAGTGAAGACTCGGTACGTCAGCTCTTGGTCTGCACTCCCCGAGCACCCCCTCCTGGTGCTCACGCTGGAGCCTTTTTTCCAGTCTAAATCTGACCTTCCCACTTTCATTAGACACTTAAGGAAGAGGTAGAAGGTGCCTTTTTTTTTTGTAGTGAGGTGATTTGGTTTACAGCACTACACGCAATGTAGGGCAGTAAGTTCACTCTTAGCTGTAGGCGGCCACATCCATCACCAAAGCCCCCCAGTCCTCCACCACAGTCTGGACCCCTCCCAGCTCTGCCCCTCACCTCCACCCTGTCCCTCTGCTGGCCTCAATACTACACTCAGATTTCTAGGACTTGTCTCGCTTTAGCTTTGTCTATTCTGTTTCTCTCTACATTTTTTTTAAAGATTTATTTACTTATGCATACAGAACTGGGGTACAGGCCAGAGGTGCGGGGGGTGAGAGGATTCACCAGGGACAGAGTGGGGAGCAGAACAGGCAGATGGACGAAGCATACTGCTGAGGGGAGCAGCGGGC